AATCATCAAAAAAGGGATAGAGAATAAGATAAAATATCTTATTGCCCTTACGTAAATCCATGGTACGCCCACATCTTGAATACTGCGTACAGATGTGGTCTCCTCATCTCAAAAAAAGATATACTGGCATTAGAGAAGGTTCAGAAAAGGGCATCTAAAATGATTAGGGGTTTGGAACGGGTCCATATGAGGAGAGATTAATGAGGCTAGGACTTTTCAGCTTGGAAAAGAGGAGACTAAGGGGGGATGTAATAGAGGGATATAAAATCATGAGTGGTGTGGAGAAAGCGAATAAGGAAAAGTTATTGTTCCCATAATATAAGAACTAGGGGCCACCAAATGAAATTAATGGGCAGCATTAATTAACAATAAACTTGTTTATTAAAACAAATAAAAGGAAGTTCTTCTTTACACAGTGCACAGTCAACCTGTGGAACTCCTTCCCTGAGGAGGTTGTGAAGGCTAGGACTATAACAGGGTTTAAAAGAGAACTGGATAAATTCATGGAGGCTAAATCCATTAATGGCTATTAGCCAGGATGTTTAAGGAATGGTGTCCCTAGCCTCTGTTTGTCAGAGGGTGGAGATGGATGGTAGGAGAGAGATCACTGATCATTACCTGTTAGGTTCACTCCCTCTGAGGCACCTGGCATTGGCCACTGTCGATAGACAAGATACTGGGCTGGATGGACCTTTGGTCTGACCCAGTATTGTCCTTCTTATGATGTTTAACTGGTGGGTAAGTAATTGTTAAGAATAACAATTGACTGCTTCTCTGGGACTTTGCCTCCTCCTCTTAGTCTGGCTTCTTTGAGAAGTCTTTCATATGCTTCTACAATGGCCTCTTCAAGGTGCATGTGTATGTATAGTTAATATGATCTAATAAAGCATTACTGGTAAAAAGTTTCAGTATGCTAATTAGAATTTAGTGTTTCAGTACAGCTTTGGAAGGTGGAAGGACTCATCCTGAGTGAAGGGACGTGGCGAAGCCCCAGAATTCCATTATTCCTGTGGGAATTCTGTGCCAAAAAATTAAATTCTGCACACAATAATTTAAAATTCTGCAAACAAAATTTCCCCCAGGAGTAGAGAGAGAAACCCCTACGACAACCCAGTTCCTGCTTCTTTGTCATCGTCTTCTCTTCTCCTCCCCTCGCTCCCCCCCAGCACAGCCAGGGGGCCCAGACATTCATACCTCTTTCCCCCAGAGCCCTGCTGTGGGGCCCTCCCTGGCCCAGACACTCTCACACCACCTCCGCCCAGACACTCACACTCCATACCCCCACCCTCCCCCAAGGCCAGCTGCAGGTGCACATCTCCTCCTCTTCTCTCTCTTCCTCTCCCCCCCACCCCCAAGACACTCACAGACCCTACCCTCCTAGAGCCCGGGGAAACCCTGGAAACCCTCCAGTTCCCTCTCCCTCCCCCCAGCCTTGTCTTCTGTTTGCGAGCGAGCTGGGTTTTGCCAGGTCCAGCGGCTCCTACTGGTGGCCAACATCTCTACAGCCTATTTCTGTGGTGGGACAGATGGAAATTCTGCACACCCACCATTACTTTCTGCAAAATTGTGCAGTGGCACAGAATTCTCCCAGGAGTAATTCCATGGAGTAAGCTTGAGCTGTCTCTATTTGCCAGAAAAGTAGTCTAACCCAGATCCTTTCTGGACCTCTTCCACAAAGTAAGTCAGCAGATAATAAATGCGATACTGGTTTTGGTGTGAGTTTTTGCACTCCATAAAAATAAATTTTTCCTTTTCCATTTGGGCTTCTGGAGATGTGAAGGGAAGAAGTTGGAAAGTGCTTTGGGATATAACTATATACAATAGCCAGCTCTATCTTGTATTTATACAATTCAGAAATTGGAAGCCTTTGCATGGTACCAATACACAATTCTGTACATTTCAGCACCATACTTTAACTTTCTTTTTTCTTTGACCCGTATCTAATACAAAATCTCTAGCTATAATTGAAAGTAGGTATGTGAAAGCAAATTTCTTGTTGAAGTCACCAGAAGTATCTATTTGACCACAATATTGGAGGAGGGTAAATGCAAATGGCATGTTACAAACTATATAACTTCAGCTCTTAAATTTGCATTTGGGTCATAATTTAAGTTTTCTTGATCAGGAACAGAAGGTAAAGCGTCTCTTCTGTCTACACAATTTGATCAAGAGAAAGTAGAATTTTAAATTTTCTTACAGGATTAAGTGGTATCGACTGTGCTGGTTTTACCTCACTAATATGATAATGACAAAAATCACTAACCCTTAGGAAAACTTTTAATATCCAAGTGTATGTAAACTGAACACTGGCTGATTTTGCTCCAGTGCTGTGCCAGGGAGAAATTTTGGTTATCGGGAGGTGTGAATCCCTCCTTCTGGGAGCTATTAATAGGAGAGAGGCTGTGTCAGGAGATCAAGCTATGGGGATGGAAAGGGTTCGCTGGGGAGCTGTAAGGAGTCTTATAAAGTGAGCCATGTTTAGGAATAGAAGACTGGGCTTCTGGAGATGTGAAGGGAAGAGTTGGAAAAAAGTTACTGCATGCAATAGAACAGGCTGCCTCATATTTACAAAATGTAGGAACTGGAAATCTTTGCATGGGGCGTACACCCAATGCATTTGCAGAAGAAGTTTGGAATAAACAAAAGAAAAACAGAAGGGATGTCTTTCACTCTGGTACTTCCTGTAAATCCTTTGTTTCTTATTTTACTATGTTTCTAGCTGATTTGTTTCCTCAGAAGATCCAGGTTTGTTTAAAATTTTTCACTCAGTGAGCAGGGATCAGTTTGAGTTGCAGGAACTAAAGTGTTTTCTTCTTTTTATTTTTGCAGTTTTCTGTTCTCCCTTCATGTCTCCCAAAATAATAAAAAAAAAAAAATCTAGGAACCTTACACACCTTGTTAGCCAAGATTATAAAAATTAAGATATATCTTAATGTATCGGAGTAGCAGCCGTGTTAGTCTGTATTTGCAAAAAGAAAAGGAGTACTTGTGGCACCTTAGAGACTAACCAATTTATTTGAGCATAAGCTTTCGTGAGCTACAGCTCACTTCATCGGATGCATACTGTGGAAACTGCAGAAGACATTGTATACACAGAGACCATTGTATACACAGAGACCTCCTCCCACCCCACTCTCCTGTTGATAATAGCTTATCTAAAGTGATCACTCTCCTTACAATGTGTATGAAAATCAAGGTGGGCCAATTCCAGCACAAATCCAGGTTTTCTCACCCCCCTCCTCCCCCCCACACACAAACTCACTCTCCTGCTGGTAATAGCTCATCCAAACTGACCACTCTCCTTACAATGTGTATGATAATCAAGGTGGGCCATTTCCAGCATAAATCCAAGTTTAACCAGAACGTCTGGGGGGGGGGGAAACAAGGGGCAATAGGTTACCTTGCATAATGACTTAGCCATTCCCAGTCTCTATTTAAGCCTAAATTAATTTGCAAATGAATTCCAATTCAGCAGTTTCTTGCTGGAGTCTGGATTTTAAGTTTTTTTTGTTGTAAGATAGCGATCTTCCTGTCTGTAATTGCGTGACCAGAGAGATTGAAGTGTTCTCTGACTGGTTTATGAATGTTATAATTCTTGACATCTGATTTGTGTCCATTTATTAGTTTACGTAGAGACTGTCCAGTTTGACCAGTGTACATGGCAGAGGGGCATTGCTGGCTCTCAGTGAGCTGTAGCTCACGAAAGCTTATGCTGTATATAAAGTCTGCTGCAGTTTCCACGGTATACATCTGATGAAGTGAGCTGTAGCTCACGAAAGCTCATGCTCAAATAAATTGGTTAGTCTCTAAGGTGCCACAAGTACTCCTTTTCTTTTTGCAAATACAGACTAACACGGCTGTTACTCTGAAACCTTTGGAGTGTTGTGGCCCTTGAATGTCAGTTGCGATGTCCCATTGTCATGCAAAAAGGTGGTGGTAATAATAGGAGGAGTTAGGGGTTTCTGAATTCAGAGGACTTGGAAGGAGGAAGATGTCAGGGGCATCCTTGACCTTCCTTTCAAATAGTAATGTTATTGGTTTGATTTTTCAGTAATAACTGTTGCCTGTTGGATGGAAAAAGTGAACTTGTTCTATTGGCATATTCCATGTACCTTATTGCCTTCTGCTTACAGCTTTGAGCACTGTTGAATGAGGCAATAGTTCTTAATTATAATTCTCCAATTATTGTGTGTGTTGAGAATAAATTAGAGAGCTTGAAATTTGGAGGTCAGAGGGAAGGAAGAGGAGCTTGGGGATTGTCGTCTTTTGTGGAATATATTAATAAAAATATGTGCTCTTTGATGGAAGTGCTTAGCTCTAATAGTGTTAAACAAATCTTGAGATTTATTTAAATTTGCTTGGGTAGAAAATCAATTAACTTTAAATTTAATGAATTAACAGCTGGTGTGTTAGTAAATGCAGCCTGTGCAACAAGATCACTTTTTGTAATCTGACTACTTAATTCCTCTCCCTTGCTGATCTGCATTTTAACTGAAAATACTGTCAGTTGTTTAATTCAAGTAAATCCAAGTGGGCATGCTTGGAAAAGAAAGTGTTGTTCTTCTCACCCCCAAACACACACACACAAGTGTGCTCTGGAACACGTTTCAGCAGAAATCCTTTTTATTTTTTGCTTTTAAAAGTATTAACATACAAGGTATAAATGACAAAATGTGAGTATTCATGTGCAAACTTCCTGACTCCTGCATGCTGCTTTCTATAAAGGATGTCCTCAAATTCAGTCACATAGAAGTAGTAAAATCTGTGTTGTTGATATTTAAGCATATTTGAAATGGTAGTGTCCCAGAGTTAAGTGGTTCTATAATATCAACAGGAAGAATAGCATTGTGTAAATTGCTTAATATTTACATGTATGCTATTTTTAACTTTTTTATTTGGACCTGAAATCCACTGAGAGGCAGAATACCTCTGTCTTTGTATATATGTATAATTTTGGTGTACACGGGAGTCTTTACATTAAAATGTGGGGGGTTTTTCAGGTCAACAAGGGCAGCCACAAGATTATTCAAAGGCTTGGGAGGAATATTACAAGAAGCAAGGTAATGTTTGCTAGAAATGAGATTATTTTTAGCTTCTTTGTCTTTGTTACAGCAAAAAAGTTATGTAGTCCTAATTTATTTTAGGTCAAGCAGTTCCAGCTCCAGCTGGGGCCCCCCCAGGTCAGCCTGATTATAGTGCAGCATGGGCTGAATACTACAGACAGCAAGCAGCATATTATGCCCAGACAAGTCCACAGGGAATGCCACAGCATCCTCCAGCACCACAGGTATAAAATTCTATGAATTATTTTGTGTTTTTATAAATATTTTTTTTGCATGTCTCCTGTTTTGTTACCTTTGGAGTGTGCATCCTTTTTTTGTAGCAAAATAACTCAGAATAATTAGTAAATGACTTTTAATCTGGTAACTTGAGTTCTCTATCTCTTCAGAACGCTCAGTGCTTTTGATTAAAAATTTTTCTCCCTCAGGGTTTAGAAAACCATGCAAGAAGCCACCACCATTTACATTAACCAATTTTTCTTTCTTAAAGGCTTCACTCCTGAGTTAGCTCAATTTAAAGGATTTTCTTTAACTTTTTGTGTATCTCTTATGTATCTCTTCTGCACAGGGCCAATAATAAGAAGTGGACAATACAGTATTTGCTTCATTGTGTGGGGGAAAAAACCTTTGTTAAATGTATGGATGCAGACGCCTTGATGAAGATCTTAATTTTGTTTGGTTTAAAAATAGTGTTTTTGAAAATGTACAAAATATCTATCACTACTGATAGGAGGTAATATTTCTGTGTAGAAATGAAAATTGGTTTGTTTTTAGTATATTAGTGTAGATGTACACATTCCAGCAAATGTATTTGCAATTATTATGTGGTCAATGCTTTGTGATATAAATGTACTTTTTCAATGTATACTTTCACTTTTAAAATGCCTGTTTTGTGCTTTACAATAAATAATATGAAACCTCCTGTGTCGGTAAGTTGGATATGTGGGTATTTAAAGAATTCTAGGACTTACTAGTAATGCTGAATTAAGGTATATGTACCCAAATGAGATTTTTTTTCCCCCATGAAATCTTAGAATGAGTTAAAAAACCTGTCATTGGCATGTTTTTCCCCTTTTCAGAATAGTTGTAGATGGAGGATCTTTCATTTATTGTATTTTGCTGTCTAGCACCAGTAATCTTGATACCTTTATTTTCTTTCTATTTGATTAAAAACTGCATGTGTTTAAAAAGGTGATCTTTTGGCATACTTCCATTGCATTAACAGTGAAATTTCCCTTTTTATACATGACCACTGTTTCAGACCTGTACAGCTGCTATAAGTTAACCTTTCTGTTTTTAATTTGATACTTACTTGACTGTTTCAGCATAACTATTTTAAACATTTTTCAGATTAGTTATAAAAGGTTTTTGCTTTTATAATTAAATGTTCTAAGCATTCAGTTTGCAGTAGTTCATTTCAAAAATCAGTGTAGAAAGGTGAACGTGGTTACCAGAATTGCATCTGACATTGAAACTTTATATTTTGTTTGGGGTGGGGGGAGTGGTTGACAGAGAACTTCATTCAGTACAGATAAGTTCTGTTGTGTAAATGCTCAAGACCAGTTGTTGAATCAAATTATTTGATATACTTTTTTGTTACATTACTGCTCGTACTCAAAATCTGATATTCTGTTGAAATTCATTGTTTGCTGTTTGCATATTTATTGGCTCTTTGCATATATTAGACTACATGCAATACAGTCTGTCTTGCCATTGTCTGTTGAAGTGCAGGTTTGATCCAGCCAGTATAGAACTAGCTCTATAGGGGTGAGGAGGACTGTGCTGTGTATCATCCTTGATTGTTCCTTCAAGGAGCATTGCACTGTAAGTACATCAGAATGACAAATTGATGAACTGCAACAGTATCGTTTGTCAATGTTCCACATAATGCAAATGCCATACTTGTGTGAATATTATGTTGGAATACAGTGCTAATATCTTAGGAAATCATAACTGCTTCTTAATTCAGAAACATAGGTGTGCATATATATATGTGAGCTTTATGGGTAAGTATTCTTGAAATGTTCAGCAATAGCTAAAGAAAATCTTGTGTTATCTAAGTAATACAACATTTTTCACTAGTGCTCCTGAGACAAAGGTTGTATTATTTAGCTTATGAAAATGTGCATATCTTGTTAATATGAAAGTGATTGGAACTGCTTGATAGACAGAAGTTGTTTTGTCTTAAGTTAGTTTGCAGACATGTAGTGATGCAGGTATATGTTAAACTATTTTATAAGCCTGTATTAATTAGCCTTATCTTTTTGGAGCACCATTTGTTGCATTGAGAATACTTTTTTAAGGTGGCTGCATAGAGAAGTAAAACTTAAGGCTTGAAATTTGAAGTAGTTTTATTATTCAGATAATTAGCAATGTATTTTATTGTGTTTGTAGAACCTGGAGGGAACTACCTTACCCCTTTTTAGATTAGGAATTTTAGTAGTAGTTTGAAACAAACAGCTAGGAAGATATTGCAATCTTTAGTGTAGGATATGAAGTTTAATAGTTAAGATATTTTGCATGATACTTTTGTAGATGACCTTATAGTAGAATGGTGCATTTATTACTAATTAAACTGAACAAAATTAAATTCACTGGATTCTTTATCATTCACAAAATGGAGGCTGTTGATTTTGATTCATTTAAGGTATAAAATCTTTATTAATTGCAAACAGTGCAATTATTTATACTTCACAGTGCCTTCCCAGACCTTCCACCTTAGGTTCTGCTGCAAAAAGCAACAGGTAAGCACAACCTAAGGAAGTATATAAATACATATTTCAGTACATTAATGTTGTCCCTGTGAGATTTTTGTGGTTGTGTATTCAAAAGCAATCTGCTGATTTCCCCAAATGCATTCTGTTACTCATGGTTCCATTTCAGTGGAAAGTCTCTCAGTTGTTTAAACAACCGTTCACATTTCTGGGTAAATGTATCTTTATTTTTTAGAAAAGATGAGTGGATTGCTGCAATAATTAAACTTAATCTGAATAAGTCATTTTTTGTTACTTTTTCCTCAAATAGCTGAATTGTAACAATTTAACAAAGGAAAACAAAACTTTTTTCCCCCCAAGATGCAGGAAATACTTGGTTAGAAACTTCAACAGCCTTCACAAATGTTTTTATAATTGGCAGGTCATTATTCCCACCCCACCCCTAAAAGCTAAATAGAATACTGTGTGTTTCTCTTGTCACTGGAACTGATAACTTGACTTTTTAAAGAAGTTATACAACATAATATTAGTGAATTTTTTAGATAAACTAGTTTGCTTATCCATCTGATATAGTAGGAAAATTGACACAAGTTTTGCAGAATAGTATGTCTTACTAGAAAGCATGTGCACAAGTGAAATGTTAACTGTATGGCAAATAATCTTTTCAGTATCTATATAGCAATCAGTATTTTCTGTTCTTTGATACTTTAACTGAATTGCTGTATACTTTTGCCAGTTTAAAATGTTTGTTTTATTCAATGGTCTGGTACAGTTTTTTAGTTAAAGCAGCATCTCATCAGTTTTTGTTTATTCAATATATAAAATGTGCTGATCCTTTTTCAAAAGTCCTGCTTATATCTATATCAAAGAAAAATATTCAAAAATACTGCCTTCATTTTCACACACAGTGCTGAAGATGCTGCAAGCACCAAATCATAGCTCATAAAATCAGGTCCTGAGATAGTTACTACCAATAAAGAGGAATCCTTTGAGTGTATGCCATTGGTGAGCCGATGAGCACGGACCATAGAAGGGGTCCATGTAGAAGGTAAAATTGGCAAAACATGTATCCCATACATAATGGTGTAGGGTATAATTTTTCTGTCTGATCACTTCTCATTCTTTAAAGTGCTATTTGCTTGACCATAAATGTTCAATAATCTGTTTAGTTTTAAAAACTATGTGGCTAATAATATTAAACTATATATTTTAATTTATATTCTTCTGAGCAGTCAAGCTTAGATATATTTACCTTCTGAAATTAATAGTTGCACTTAATTCCCTTAAGCCACTTCATTTTTGTTTACTTGTAGTTTGATATGTAACTCACATTTATTTTTCACATGAGAACTAGGTATGTACCCTAGTGGGTTTTAAATCCTAAGAATTTATTGTCTGGGGCGGGATTTCAGTTTCACTTCCTTAAACATGCTGCTTTTTATTTCACCGTTACGTGAATATTTTAATAATTAAAATCTTAAATTGAGTAAATTTAGCAAGTGGGAGGAAATAGAAAAGACAGGCCAGTTATTTGGATTAATGAGGGAATGTGAAAGTCATAATGGCTTCAGTTTAGTGTTTGTGGCATATTGATTTTCAGCTCACTTATTGCTGGACTTATAGGCATATTTTATGCTAAGTGTAGTGTTATTATTTAAATCAGTCTCCAAACAGTATTTCTTTTTAGAGGACAGAAGATCATTAAATTACTAGAATCTTATTTCTGAGCAAAGATTGTTTTGTGTTTGGTAGAAAAGTAATTGAACTTTCCAAAATGGGACGTTAAATAAATATATCTTGATTTGATAGAACCTCGCAAATGAAATAGGAAGTTGAGAGTACCGCAGTTTTAAAAGGGAAGTAGGGGAAGTGTAATGTTTAATATAGTAAAAGCATTTACAGATCACTTTCTTCAGCCTTTATACTGTAGGACATGGCATGAAATACAATGTCAGCTGGAAGAATAACCTTCATTTAGAAGTATTATAGTGTGTTTTGGTGTCCAGGCAGGTTGTATTATTATTCACTGCACAGCCTATCTTACGTGAAATATTTCTTCTTCTTCCATAAAAGTTTTATTGGATGCTAGAAACTATTTTCCCCCCTCATGAAATAGCTTTTCTATGTTTCCTTTGCATGTTGTAAATTGGCAAAATTTGGGCCTTCCAGTAAGCATACAGTTGACAGGGTTCCCTCATCCCTAGTAATACCCTATAAAACTCTCATGTATATGCACATATTTCTCTTATGCATGTGAGATGCATTTTCGTCCTGAGAAAAGTGTTCTCTACAGAAACTACCCGTGTGTAAAAAGAAGATTGGCTTTATAAGGCTACTGTGATGGGAAGTGTCTTAGGGAGATGCAGCTTGGACTTGAGGTAAATTGAATGCTTTACAAAATGTGGTTTTGAGCTTGCATTATTGACATTGTATGTAATATGGGTACACATTAACTGTATAACATTTTTGTATGGTTTTATGATTTTCTCAATAAATGTAAAATGATGGATAGTACAAAATAATGTTTGTCTTCTTTCCCCCTCTTTCCTTCTGGCTTCATATTGACTTTCACATGTCTGCGTCAGATGGAAAATACATACATTTGTGATTATTTTCACAGTACGATATAAATTAATGCAAGAAACACTGAAATGTAAGGCTGGAAACTAGTCCTTGTCATCTCCTGAACTAGGATCAGACCAAGTATACCTAGACCATTGCTGACAGGTTTTGGTTTAACCCAGGGGTGGGCAAACTTTTTGACCCGAGGGCCACATCTGAGTGGGGAAATTGAATGCAGGGCCGGGGCAGGGAGTTGGGGTGTGGGAGCAGGTGAGGTTTGGGGGGCAGGGGGTTGGGGAGCAGGCTCTGGCCCAGCGCCGCTTACCTGGAGCAGCTCCAAGGTGGCAGTGGTGCTCCCATGCCACTCCTGGAAGCGGCCGACAGCATGTCCCTGCGGCCCCTGGGGGACGGGGCAGAGGGCTCCGCATGCTGCCCTCGCCTGCGGTACCTCCCCCGAAGCTTCCGTTGGCCACGGTTCCCTGTTCCTGAGCCCTCTACCCCCCACCCACTCCAGAGGCCACAGGGATGTGGTGCCAGCCACTTCCAGCAGCGGTGTGGGGCCCGCAGCGCCAGAGGGGTGGCAGTCCCCCAGGCCTGATCCAGCCCATGGGCTGTTGTTTGCCCACCCCTGGTTTAACCTGTTCTTAAACTTCCAGTAATGGGGATTCCACAGCCTCCCTTGATTTACTCCGGAACTTATCGTTAGAAATTTTTCCTGATACCTCCGTTGCAGCAGATTAAGCTTGTCCATACATAAGTGACAAGGAGAACAGCTAATCACTGTCTTTTCTCAAAACTAAACATACCCATTTTTTTAAATCTTTCCTCATCAGTCATCTGATTTTAAACCTTGGTATCACTTTTGTTGCTGTCCTTTGGAATAAGCATGATGCCCAAAACTGGGGCCACTGTTCCATGTGCGGCCTTACCAGCGCTGAGTAGAGTGGGAAAAGCTGTCTTTCATACAATACTCCAGTTAAAACACCTCAGATATTTGCCTTTTTTGAAACTGCATCACACTGTTGACTTGTATTGCTAAAAAGGATATGGAGGCTATAATGGATCAGAAATTGAATACAACTGCTTAGCCCAGTTATTTGCCATTTTGTATTTATAGATTTGGATTTTTATTTCCACGTATATTACTTTGCACTTGGCTTTTTATACATATACTCTCCGCTCCATTATCCAAGTCACTAATGAAAATATTGAATAGTGATCAGACCCAAGACCTACCCCTGCTGGATCCCAGTGGATATGTCCATCTAATTTGACAGCAAACCATTGATTGTACTCAGAGTTAGTTGTCTTTCAACCAGTTGTGTATCCATCTTATAGTAATTTCATCTAGACCACATTTGCCTAGTTTGGTTATGAGGAGGTCATGTGGGACTGTCAAAAAGCCTTACTGAAATTAAAATTTACATTTACTGCTTCTCCCTTTATCCATTGGGCCAGAAACCCTGTCAAAGAGGGAAGTAGGTTGGTTTGGCATGATGTGTTCTTGACATTCATGTTGGGTACTACTTATCACCTGTTATCCTGTAGGTGCCTACAAACTAATAGTTTAATAATTTTGTGAAGAAACACTACCTACGTGAAATGAAGCAAGATGTATTTGACAATTTATCTTCTAATTGTAATATTCAGAAGACTGTCATGCAACTGATCAGCAAAATAATTCCGTCAGGATATATCTAATTGTAATTGTTCACTGAGAACCAGAAAAAAAAGTTTAAAAAATATGCAGCTGATACAAACAAATAGAACCAACAACCAGAATATAGAACTTATAATAAAACCTCAAACAGTCATTGTTTTATTTTCTTTAAGAACATCTTTCAAAAGGATTGCATGAGAATTCATTTGGATGCAGCCTCTAGCTTATTGTATTTTATTCCTCAATATAAGTGCTGAACCTCAGAGAAAGTTGAAGCATGTGTACTTTGTATTAAAAAAAAGTCCTATGAAAAGTTGGACAGGCTGATCTGAACAAAAATCCGTTTTGAGACACTGGCACGTACATCCATTTGTTTTGTGGATTTCCCATAAAAGAATTAATGCTTAGTCGTCTTTTCACTTCAAAACCAAACATATACACTAAGATGCAGTAACAAAAATTGCAACCAGGTGAGGATGAAAATGGGGTTTGTACAGCAGCTACTTTCTCCAATATATTCCCAAATGTACTTTCCACAGATTTTAGTTTGATGTGCCAAATGCTATTTTGATGCAGGGGTAATGGTAAAGTAGTGGGGGGAAAACAACCTTCAAAAGCAAGTCGTGGTAGTCTTAGAGTTATCAAAACTTTAGTGATGAATTTACATTAGCCTGTAATCACTAATAATTACACATCCCATTACTACATTGAATGCAAGTATTTATGAAAGCTGACTGAAAGGAAAATGTTTCATTAAACAAAACAAAGTTTAAACCATTACATAACCTTTTATTGTTTAAAAATAGTACATTACTTTTATTCCAGAAACATTCACTTTTGCCTGTTAAGTCTGAGACAAAATAAAGCAGCTAAAAACTTAGTGCTCATGCAGAATGTATTCCTACCTCTCGAACTTCCAGATTGTGTATTTAACTGTTATACTACAGAATAATTGGCCTTCAAAGGTAGGAACACAAGTACAATTCAGTTTTTTCTATAGTTGGGCTTTTTCATACCAGTCCTTGTTTGAGTGTAACACGCCTCTGATACCAAATTTCACATTGTAACAGAACTTGAACACTCATGCAGTACAAAGGATATCCCTATCTGATATAGGAATGACACTTTCTAGTTTCCTTTTATTGGCCCCACCACAGAAAAAGAGATGGATGCAGTAAGAAAGTTGAGAGGAAGGTTCCAGCAAAAGTAGAGCATTAGTAGTCGTCAGCTAGAAAAGAAAAGGAGAGTCAAGAAAAATGGAATAGACTTTGTAACAGGAAAGGGGTGTAAAGTAATTCGGCACTCGAACAAAACAAGATAAAACATTAACTCTTACTTTCAATGGTGAGAATACAGGTGCTAGCTGCTGTACCTCTGCTATTGACCGCTTTACACATATATTCTCCTTCATCTTCTGGGAAAGTTTCTGGTAAGTAAAGGCAGTAAGTTTCTCCTCTTTCAATGTACTGATAGTCCTCGGAGTCCTGCAACATTTCCCCTTCAAACCACCATGTGACTTCAGGTATTGGCTCTCCCGTAATTTTAACAGTAAATCTTACTGGCTCACTATCTACAACTGATACATTCTTTAGGGGTTTCTTGAACCATGGAGCTCCTGACCGAGCTTGGTTCTCTTCATCTTCATAAGTAGAACCATTTATAATACTTCCCTCTTCCTCCTCCTCCTCTTCCCTTTTCTGTGTTAAAAATAAATTGATTTAGAGAATTTCAAACACTGCAAACTGTTCATGTTATGACAATGCCTCGTAAACCTTTGGCCATATGAAAGTTAGAAAAAACTAAAATTTTGGGGAAAGGAGATGGCAACTCCAACGCAGGCACACTGGATAATAATGGATTATGCATCAATATTACAATCTATATACTGAACAAGAAAGGCATAATGGGAAAGTTAAGGAAGACGGCTTAATATGGGGGTGGGGTGCAGAGGTGGAATCTGGGGAAAAATATAAGAATGTATGTTGCTTCCTTCTTATTTGAGAACTGGCCAAATGTTTAAAGGAAAACATATCTACTTTCTCTACAGCATTATGTATGTATTAGAGCTGTTAAAGTATTAAAAATATTAATTGCAGTTAGTCATGGTTTTAATTGCACTGTTAATAATAGAATACCAATTTAAATTATAAATATTTGTGGATGTTTTTCTACAAGTCGAAGCATGAAGAGGCATACGAATGTTTAGCACATCTGACACGTAAGTACCTTGCAGTGCTGGCTACAACAGTGCCATACCGAATGCCTGTTCACACTTTCAAGTGACATTATAAATAAATAGTGGGCAACATTATCTCCCATAAAGGTAAACAAATTTGTTTGTCTTAGCGATTGGCTGAACAAGTAGGACTGAGAGCAGCTATGTTTAAAAAAAAAAAAAAATTACGCATTTGTAAGTTGCACTTCCACAATAGAGAGAACCTCACATTGAAAAATACTATTTATTTTATTTTTTACAGTGCAAATATTTGTAATCTATAATATAAAGTGAGCACTGTACACTGTGTAATTGAAATCAATATATTTGAAAATGTAGAAAAACATCCAAAATTATAATAAATGTAAATTGGTATTCTATTATTTAACAGTGCAATTAAAACAGACTGATTAATTATTTTTAAATTAAGTTAATTTGTTTTGTGTTAATTGCTTGAGTTAACTGTGATTAATTCCGTCAAACAGGAATATCTGCAAATTCCAAAAGCAATTTTACTAGATATTTCATTATTTCAACTGTTTCTGTAAATTTTTGCAGTATCAAGACAATTGTGATTATGGTAATGTTGCTACTAACGAAACAATCCAACACTTAAAACATGCATTTCACTAATATTAAATTAATAGAAAATCCTTGGTTCTTGAACATCTCTGGAGAGGGTATTTTTAATCCTCCATACCTTCTGTAATGCAGCATCAATTTCCTTCTGTTCAAACTGCATACGTAGTAGTTTTTGTTCCTCAATTCTTCTCTGTTCCTCCTCTTCCCTTGCCTTTGCCATTTGCTCAAATCTAGCTTTCATGTTTACTTTATGGGTGAATGGAGCCTCAGATTTCTTGGCAGGCTTCACATCTATCTCATCATCCTTTTCAGTTTAAGGAATAAAAAAATTCAGTAAAATAATAAAGTTCAGAACTTCACTTTTAATCATAATACTGACAATAGACTGTACCAATAAACAGTAAATAGGCTAGCTTAAAGCTGAAGGGTTCATGTTATGCTTGTTCCTGGGGGCAGCATGACCCAGCCAGAATGCTGTAGCAGTTAAAACCTCTTAAGTATAACAGCATCTGAACGCTGGTCTAGACTGGGATTTAGGGGTTAGATATTCACTAGGTAGCTTTACCATTATGAACCTTAAATTGAAATGAAGCAATAATGCTTTAAAACATGCTAAATTAATTTAAAACCCAGGCTCCGTATTATAAACACAATTAAAGGCTAGGTTGTCTTCACTGCCAAAAAAAAACCAAAAAAAACTTTATGGTGAGATGCCTATCCTGAGCTACTTATTTTAATGTAAACTTCTACTAGATATAGGGCACTAGTTGTTACCTATATACAATCCTATACTTTGCCACACCTGGGATTTACCTCAGCTAGGTACATCAAACAACTACTCTGCTTTATCTCCACAGGATGTTACACTGAGAACTATTTCAAGACAAAGTCTTGACAGTAGCTGAGTATTCCTACAAGGGTCAGTTTCAAGATACCTTGTATAGCACTCAGCACAAGTTCCAATCTTCATTAAGAGACTTCTGGGCACTATCCCCCATATAATATTACACTAGCTCTTGTGTATGAAGGTCAAATTTTCTGGAAGGGAGGCTGAGAAAGAAGATGACCAACTATGAGAACAATGTTGCTTTCGCACTCCCTCCCCCCCCCCCCAAAAGCTTTGCATAAATAAGCTAAGTGAACAAAGAATTGCTCTGCTGTTTCCCCTCAATAATTAGTGTGGTGGTGGTCAGGATTGTGGTATACGTGTAAAATCCTATACATCAACCTGCTATCCTGGGCCTACATAGAGATATGTGGTACTCTGTTCAAAGAAATTGTAGTGCAAGAAAGTAATAGACAAAATAGAAAAACAGGGGTTACAATGACCCTTTAAGCACTTGTCATTTCTTGTTTCGGTAAGGGCAGGGGAGACAATTTACTGGGTGGAGCTTAACTGTAAAGCCTCCCCAAACCCTTCTTGACTATTCCCAAGCTTCCTATGCTTCTTTTGACCATCTTTTTCTATTTAAAAAATAAATAAAAGCCCACCCTGCTTGTTTTAGAAAACTGGTGGGGATTTTCTTTTTCCTCTTAAGCGATTTGTTACAGCATTCCCTATGCCAAAAGGGGGGGGAGGGGGAAATTCTCCCGTCTGCAAGAAGCCTTTAAGGAAAAGGGAAGCAAAAATAGGTTAAATTGTACTGTACCACTAACACGAAGAACACAACTGTCCCTTCACTACTAAGGTGCCATACTTCAGTGTTTCCTTTTTCTAAACCTCTCCCTTCACACTGAAAACTCGTTAGCTCCTTTTTTTTAACCTGTGGCCTTCTCAGAATTCACTTTGAACACTGACCATTCAATCCTAGCCTCCTCTCCAATATGACTTTCCCCTGCTGCCACCTCTGTTCCCAAACAGGAAGCAATTGGGAACTGGTGAGGAAGACAGGACATGATAGTAAAGAGGATTTCTGGGGGGTCCAGGGGAGGTCTACTATCAAAAAGGATGCATCTGCCAGAAGTCAGCTCCTCTCTTAACTTCGGGGATTGTTTTTTCTTATCTACCTGGAAATTAGCTTGTTTAGCAAGGGTTAAAAAGGAAAAATATCTGAAGAAAAGACAGAAGGGAAAGGAAAATAAAATAAGGGATAAGGCAAAATAGAATGTGGTGAGAAGGAAAACCATTAGAATAATTTCTTAAGATTTGTTATTTAAAAGACATTTTAATTTTAACAGTATCGAACCATAATATGGACAGTGTCCAAAGCCACAGTCTGCTGAAGTGATTTTATGCCACAACTTAGCAGCAGCTGACTTTCAAAAATTAAGGAAATTAGTTAGGGAAGTGGATTGGACTGAAGAACTTACGGATCTAAAGGCGGAGGAAGCCTGGGATTACTTTAAGTCAAAGCTGCAGAAGCTAGCGGAAGTGCATCCCAAGAAAGGGGAAAAAATTCATAGGCAGGAGTTATAGACCAAGCTGGATGAGTGAGCATCTCAGAGAGGTGATTAAGAAAAAGCAGAAAGCATACAGAGAGTGGAAAATGGGAGGGATCAGCAAGGAAAGCTACCTGATTAAGATCAGAACATGTAGGGATAAAGTGAGACAGGCTAAAAGTCAAGTAGAGTTGGACCTTGCAAAGGGAATTAAAACCAATAGTAAAAGGTTCTATAGCCATATACAGAAGAAAACCAAGAAAGAAGTGGGACCGCTAAAGACTGAGGATGGAGTGGAGGTTAAGGATAACCTAGGCATGGCCCAATATCTAAACAAATACTTTGCCTTAGTCTTTAATAAGGCTAATGAGGATCTTAGGGATAATGGTAGCATGACAAATGGGAATGAGGATATGGAGGTAGATATTACCATATCTGAGGTAGAAGCGAAACTCCAACAGCTTAATGGGACTAAATTGGGCAGCCCAGATAATCTTCATCCAAGAAAATTAAAGGAATTGGCACATGAAATTGCAAGCCCATTAGCAAGAATTTTTAATGAATCTGTAAACTCGGGTTGTACCATATGACTGGAGAATTGCTAACATAGTTCCTATTTTTAAAAAAGGGGGGGGGGGAAAGTGATCTGGGTAACTACAGGCCTGTTAGTTTGACATCTGTAGTCTGCAAGGTCTTCGAAAAAATTTTGAAGGAGAAAGTAGTTAAGGACATTGAGGTAAATGGGACAAAATACAACATGGTTTTACAAAAGGTAGATTGTGCCAAATCAACCTGATCTCCTCCTTTGAGAAAGTAACAGATTTTTTAGACAAAGGAAACGCAGTGGATCTAATTTACCTAGATTTCAGTAAGGCGTTTGATATGGTGCCACATGGGGAATTGTTAGTTAAATTGGAAAAGATGGGGATCAATATGAAAATTGAGAGGTGGATAAGGAATTGGTTAAAAGGGAGACTACAGCGGGTCATACTGAAAGGTAAACTGTCAGGCTGGAGGGAGGTTACCAGTGGAGTTCCTCAGGGATCGGTTTTGGGACCAGTCTTATTTAATCTTTTTATTATTGACCTCAGCACAAAAAGTGGGAGTGTGCTAATAAAGTCTGCAGATGATACAAAGCTGGGAGGTATTGCCAATTTAGAGAAGGACCAGGATATCATACAGGAGGATCTGGATGACCTTGTAAACTGGAGTAAAAGTAATAGGATGAAATTTAATAATGAGAAGTGTAAGGTCATGCATTTAGGGATTAATAACAAGAATTTTAGTTATAAGCTGGGGACGCATCAATTAGAAGTAACGGAGGAGGAGAAGGACCTTGGAGTATTGGTTGATCGCAGGATGACTATGAGCCGCCAATGTGATACGGCCATGAAAAAAGGTAATGCGATCTTGGGATGCATCAGGCGAGGTATTTCCAGTCGAGATAAGGTGTTAGTACTGTTATACAAGGCACTGGTGAGACCTCACCTGGAATACTGTGGGCAGTTCTGTTCTCCCATGTTTAAGAAGGATGAATTCAAACTGGAACAGGTACAGAGAAGGGCTACTAGGATGATCCGAGGAATGGAAAACCTGTCTTATGAAAGGAGACTCAAAGAGCTTGGCTTGTTTAGCCTTACCAAAAGAAGGCTGAGGGAAGATATGATTTCTCTCTATAAATATATCAGAGGGATAAATATCAGGGCTGGAGAGGAATTATTTAAGCTCAGTACCAATGTGGACACAAGACCAAATGGATATAAACTGTCCATCGGGAAGTTTAGACTTGAAATTAGATGAAGGTTTCTAACCATCAGAGGAGTGAAGTTCTGGAATAGCCTTCCAAGGGAAGCAGTGGGGGCAAAAGACCTATCTGGCTTTAAGATTAAACTCAATACGTTTATGGAGGAGATGGTATGATGGGATAACATGATTTTGGCAATGAACTGATCTTTAAATATTGATGGTAAATAGGCCCAATGGCCTGTGAAGGGATGTTAGATGGGGTGGGATCTGAGTTACTACAGAGAATTCTTTCCTGGGTGTCTGGCTGGTGAGTCTTGCCCATATGCTCAGTGTTCAGCTGATCGCCATATTTGGGGTCAGGAAGGAATTTTCCTCCAGGGCAGATTGGAAGATGCCCTGGGGGGGGGGGGTGTTGCCTTCCACTGTAGCATGGGGCATGGGTCACTTGCTGGAGGATTCTCTGCACCTTGAAGTCTTTAAACCATGATTTGAGGTCTTCAATAGCTCAGACATAGGTGAGAGGTTTATCGCAGGAATGGATGGGTGAGATTCTGTGGCTTGCGTTGTGCAGGAGGTCGGACTAGATGATCATGATGGTCCCTTCTCACCTTAATATCTATGAAACTACACAGCTTGGGGCCTAGTTCCAGTACCCATTATGTTAAATGAATAGGGGTTCAGTTATTTAATCAAGGTAAGTGTGGGCGGGGGAGGCATAAAGGCACTCGAAGGACTTTGAGATTGTGTGAAAAAGACAGTACTGGAGAGTGCGTGGAGGGACTGAAAGTGAGACTCAGACCTCCTGACTTCACTACATTCTCAAGCAACATTTCACAATGGCTGCTAAGGGGGTGAGGGGAAGAGAAGGGACCCTCCGGGCAGCTAAGGGGTTATGCTCTTCTTTGCCCCTCCTATCTCCTTGCTGCCCCTCAGAGGGGATGGGAGTGTATATCAGGGAGAGAGCCCAGGTGCCAAAGTTTGTTTTTCCTAGCAGAGAAAGGGTTCAGGAAGTTGGGCCACTGTATTATTCACAGACTGGGAAGGGAGAATAGGACATGGAGCAGGTCCTGGACTGTTGGAAGTTACAAATTGGAAAGTGCTAATTCCTCCTCCACCTTCCCCCTTGTGAAAAAGTAGCTGCCTAGCCTGCTTCCTATGACCTCCCCTCAAGGAAAAGATTGCTCCTGGGCAACAGGGCTCCCTCTCTCTGCTCCTCAAATGGGAACCTTGAGAAACCTAGGCAGGGACCCATTACGTGAACCCTTAAGTCCCTGAGCAACCTGGGCAGGGACCTCCTCCTCCCGAAGCCATAACATTAAAAACCTGATTTAATAAAAACAATAGGGAACCATCTTAAACAGCTTTTATAGAGAGAAGTGATTAAAATCTGTCACAATGTTTAAATACATGTATGTTCCACACATCAGCCATTTGCCAGAGAAATGGCCGGTTTGCAGATTGAGAAGTATAAGTGGATGGTGAGAGATGGTGTGGGGAGTTAATGGGTGTGGAGCCAAGAGCAAATGCATACTAAAACCTTTAGTTGGTGGGGAAAAGCGAGGCTGCTGGTTCCCTAAGGTTTGGCCAGGAGGGATCTCCTCAGATGGCCATAGGAGGGAGTAGGGGGGATCACTATGGAGATGGAGGGAACTCTGCTGGAAGGGCAGCATTGTTTACTTTAGGGTCATGAGATGCTCTGGAGAAGTTCACTCTTGCACCTCGAATTCAGCTTACTGAGGATGAAGGAACAGGTCATTAGTGTCCTAACAGCTAAACTAATGTAACAACATTTTTAGCAATTGTTGACGCTGAAAATAACTTGCCTCATGAAATTTTTCTGTTTCCCTCTCTTTTATTTCCTGGTCCACTGCTCTTCTTCTAGCTCGCTCCTCTTCAATTTTTTTCTGTATTTCTTCTTCAGACAATTTTCCAATTTTTTCAAACTTGCTTTTTAAGTTCTTTGCCTGAATAGAACCACTTCTTTTTAACTTTATTAGTTCTTCATATTCCCTGCTTAATTCAAAGGTTTCAGCCTCTTCCTCCTCCTGTTAAGAAATTACAACATAACAAAACAAGTATAAGTGTGCCTGATTTTGAAAACTGTTTTTGTGCAAAAAAATGCCACGTGTAACTAACTACATTTTCCTTAAATCTAATGAAACCATGATAATGGTGGTAGATCTAGTTCCCCAGTGCAGGGACCTTCACTTTTAATTTCTTTTAAAGTGCCAGGCATACAAGACAGGTACATATTTTTTTAAAAGGTAAAAATACTCCAATTATATTTGCTTCTAAACCAATTTTATTAGTTTGAAAGGCTCTTGCCTCTTCATACAGTCCCCTCAAGTTACTGTTCTGTGAAGTCAGTCCATGTGAAGGGTGCTTTATTGATCTGGCATTGCATAAACACTAGATAGTCCTGGAGGCAGAGTCTTCTCTCACAAAACACTAGTGGCTCTGCAAGACGCTTCATGCTACTCTGCCAGTGTACTTTACTCTTCTAAGAGTAAAATTATAGTTCAGTCTCCATGTCTGTGTTTCTGGTGAGACTGGCATCTAGTATTTTTTTGGCATAGACCTTTGCCCACTGGGAATGTGAGACCACCAACTTATTTCACACAGGTCAATGAACTGTTAACATGGATAACAACTAGAGCTGTCACGCGATTAAAAAAATTAAATCACAATTAATTGCACTGTTAACAATAGAATACCATTTATTTAAATATTTTGGGTGTTTTTTACATTTTCAAATATATTGATTTCAATTGCAACACAGAATACAAAGTGTACAGTGCTCACTTTATTTTTATTTTTGATTACAAGCACTGTAAAAAAAGATAGTATTTTTCAATTCACCTCATACAAGTACTGTAGTGCAATCTCTTTATCATGAAAGTTGAACTTACAAATGTAGATTTATGTACAAAAAAACCACATTCAGAAATAAAACAATGTAAAATTTTAGAGCCTACAAGTCCACTTGGTCCTACTTCTTGTTCAGCCAATCGCTCAGACAGACAAGTTTGTTTACATTTGCAGGAGCCAATGCTGCCCGCTTTTTGTTGACAATGTCACCTGAAAGTGAGAACAGGCATTCTCATGGCAGTGTTGTAGCCAGCATCGCAAGATATTTACTTGCCAGATGTGCTAAAGATTCATATGTCCATTCATGCTTCAACCACCATTCCAGGGGACATGCGTCCATGCTGGTGACGGGTTCTGCTCGATAACAATCCAAAGCAGTGCAGACCGACACATGTTTATTTTCATCGTCTGAGTCAGATGTCACCAGCAGAAGGTTGATTTTCATTTTTGGTGGTTCGGGTTCTGTAGTTTCTGCATCGGAGTCTTGCTCTTTTAAGACTTCTGACAGCCTGTTCTCACTTTCAGGTGACATTGTAAATAAGAAGAGGGCAGCATTATCTCCTGTAAATGTAAACAAGCTTGTTTGTCTTAGCGATTGGCTGACCAAGAAGTAGGACTGAGTGGACTTGTAGGCTCTAAAGTTTTACATAGTTTTGTTTTTGAGTGCAGTTATGTAATTAACAAAAAAAAAATCTACATTTGTACGTTGCATTTTCATGACAGAGATTGCACTACAGTACTTGTATGAGGTGAATTGAAAAATACTATTATCATTTTTACAGTGTAAATATTATAAAAATATACACTTTGATTTCAATTACAACACAGAATACAATATATATGAAAATGTAGAAAAACCTCCAAAATGTTTAATACATTTCAATTGGTATTCAGTTGTTTAACAGTGCAATTAAAACTGTGATTACTTTTTTGAGTTAATCACGTGAGTTAACTGTGATTAATCGACAGTCCTCGTAACAAGTTTTAGTAATTAGTGATCTTGTAACTGGTGACCACGTAGACAGAGTAAGAATCTTACGTATCATGCTGCCCAATACCCTATGCTATTCTTCACCAATAGTCCAATTTATTCTTAACAGAATCAATGCTGACTGAATGCAATATGCCATAACAAAACCTACTCTCCAAAAATAAAAAAAGCTGCTTTTGAAAAAGGAAAAATTTAAGTAATGCTTTAAATATTTCTTAGAAAATCATGATACCACAGTGCAGGTAAGTTACACTATATGAATTTAAACTGCATACAACTTAATAGTAAAAAGCAAACTGGATATTCTGACTAGTTTAAAAATGCTGGAAGGATATTTTAAATAGAAAAAACCCCATAAGCAATAACATCTTAACAACAATTTTGGACTGAACTAAATCATTGCCCTCACTTTGTTTTTTCTTGTTACCTCTTTTCTCTCATTTCAGTGTTGATAGTACACTCTAATTAGTTTAAGATGCAATCCCAAACATGTTTGGAAATCTCAAATCCTAAAACCCTTATTACTCACCTGGGATCCTCCAGGCATGAGCTGCATATTCCTCGTTTGCTAACTTTGGAAGGTTTTGACAGTATTTCCAACTCCAATTATTGCTCTCCCTAAGCATTCAAAAATCATTTGATTCATTTTATAATTGAGATTTTAAAAAATAATATGTGGGTTGTTTTAATTTACCTTCTAGTTTCTTAGCATTTGCAGTTTGCATTTGCAAGCTATTTTCTGCAAGCACAAGGCCTAAAACTTTTTCAATTGAAACAGATTTTTTTATGTAATTGCATCACTCAACGATCTGGAGCTTTAAGAAAAAAACCAAATAGGGCAAAATCATAAGATCAACATTAGAAAGAGGAAATAATTATCTTTTTGTACATTAGCTGTAGGAGGATTATAGATATGATTCTCCAAGTATAACTGAAAGAAGTTACAAAACAGCTTTTCAGCAAAGGAAATAGCGAAACTTGTAGAAGTTACTGTGGAAGTAGACCGCTTTACAAGTCTAAAGTTGCTAAAGTTCTCAGTTCGGGACGGCAAAGTGTATTAACCTGTATTCAAAGCAATTAAAAAGGGAACACAAGTTTTCGAATGGAAAACAATTTTTTTAAAGTGTTAGATAATTAGTTTTCCTTTTTCCATTCCCTTTTTTCTAGGCAACACTTTTTTTTTTAAAGTACCAATCTAACTACACCTAAAATCTTCAAATTTTAGAATTTTAAGCAATGATCCATTCATTATATGCTATCGGGAGGTAACCCTGTATGACCTTTCATTCAATTATTTTCGAGAATACAAACCTCTCCCATTTCTTGTCTGAGCTGTTCAAATTCTTGCTTCTCCATTTCCAACTTTTGCCTGCGCTCTTCTTCAGTGCGTCTCTTTCCTTCTTCCATTTTTTGTCTCAGTAACTCCTCAAAATTAATTTCCAGTTTACCTGGTGTAAGAGATTCTTGAGAAACTGTTTTAAACATCTCTGGGGTCTCATCATCCAGTACCTATTGAAAATAATTATCTGTTGCCACTTTTGATACAATTTGTGTACTGGTGCTAAATTTAGAATACAAAATTTGAGGATGTGATATTTGGACCTTTTGCTATCTCTAATTCACAGTGAAGTAAGATGACACATGCTTTAATGTAGAAGACTAGACAACATTGATTTATTTGTGTTTTGTATTAGTGTCCTATCTTTCCCACTTACTTTTAATCAATTTAACACAGAAGTAAAATTTTGAGCTTATTGAAGCAAAGCAAGTGTATCCTAAGCTTTAAAATAAAGCTTTTTTTTAACTAAAATATTGCTTCAATAATATGGGGTGAAAGAGAAATTCCATCGGAGCAAAGGAATGGGAGCCAGGAAAGCTTCAGTTCTAACTGATCAGACAGATTGCTTAACATCTAATTCATTTTCCCAGTTAAAATAGGGTGAATAAATCATGCATAATCTTCACTGTACTGTGATAATTATGTAAAGTTACATTCTTAGATAAACAATGCTGTACAAACCATATATATTCTCCATTTCTAAGCAAATTTTGTGTATTTGTATTCAGTTTTCTTTAATCTATGTTAACATACTGGCATGTACACAAACAACGTATAAAGAACGGAGAACATTCTTAAACAACAGTTTGTGGGGTTTTTTGCATATAAACTGAATTATACTTTTACTTTAAATCCAGTGCTTTCCACATTTTCAGAACATTTCTATGTGCAGCCAGAAATTGGGAATGGGCGACAGGGAATGGATCACGCGATGATTACCTGTTCTGTTCACTCCCTCTGGGGCACCTGGCATTGGCTACTGTAGGAAGACAGGATACTGGGCTAGATGGACCTTTGGTCTGACCCAGTATGGCCGTTTTTGTGTTATGTTCTTTAATATTCCCTCTGATACTCTAATCCAGAAGTCAGCAACCTTTCAGAAGTGATGTGCCGAGTCTTCATTTGTTCACTCTAATTTAAGGTTTCGCGTGCCAGTAATACATTTTAATGTTTTTAGAAGGTCTTTCTCTATAAGTCTATATTATGTAACTAAACTATTGTTGTATGTAAAGTAAACAAGGTTTTTAAAATGTTTAAGAAGCTTCATTTAAAATTAAATTAAAATGCCGATCTTATCAGTATAGTGCAGTGGTTCTTAACGTGGGGTGCCCTTTCTGGGGAGTGCGAGACATGCGAGATATTTTTACAAGGTAAATCATCAAAAACACAAATTAAGCACAGGCACGTAAGTACAACTACTTTGTTTCATCGAACCTATGTATTTATTAACATTATACATTTTGGAACTATTACTGTAGTATACAAACAACGTTTTTAAGTTTTCAAGTTTTTAAGCTAATTGTAGTGTAATTTTTTATAAGGGGTGAGAGAACATATTTTAAGAACTCCAGACCGTCAGCAGGCTGAGTGGGGACGCGTGTAGTGTATTAAATTGCTCCCCATAGGAACATGCTACTTACGGCTCCCGGTCCTGATGCTCTGAGTGGCATGATAAGGGGATGGGGAACAGGGATAGGTGTGGGAGTCCCGGGGGGCCTGTCAGGGGTCAGGGCAGTCAGGGGACAGGGAGCAGGAGGGCTTAGATGGGGGAGGGGGTCCCAGGGGGTCGGATGGGGGGGAGGGCCCTGGGAGGAGGTGGTCAGGAGACAAGGAGCAGGTGGGGTTGTATCGGTGGAGGGTTCTGAGGGGGCAGTCAGGGGGCCCCAGGAGGGGATGGTCAGGGGACAAGGAGTGGGGTGGGGGGTTGGATGGATCAGGGGTTCTGAGGGGGGCGGGAAGTGGGCCAGCTGTTTGGGGTGTAGTGTATTCAATTTCTCCCCTTAGGAATGTGGTACTTACCGTGTGGTACTTACGGCTGGCAGTCCTGGTGCTCCACAAGTAGCATGTTCCTACAGGGAGAAATTTAATACCCTGCACCAGTGGACAGGACACCAGACCGGCGGCGTCAGCCCGCCGCCGGTCTGGGTTCCATCTGCCGGCTCTTGCCAGCCAGGGTCCCGGCTGCCAGCGCCGCTCAGCCTGCTGCTGGCCTGGGGTTCCGTTCACCCAGGCCGGCAGCGGGCTGAGCGGGAGCGGCAGCCAGGACCCCAGCCGGCAGCCGCATGCCAGTAAAAATTGGCTTGCGTGCCGCTTTTGGCACACGTGCTGCAGGTTGCCGACCCCTTCTCTAACCTTTCAAGCATGCAGCAAAGCTGTTTCGAGGAGGGAGGAAGATGAGGTGGACAGAGTTTTATGGACGGTCCTTTGCTTATTTTTTGTGTTTAATTTGAGATAGGCACCTATTCTGTGATCTGGGTAACTAAAGTTTACACTTCAGAAATCTGAAGGAATAAGTAATAAAACATTTAATTCAGTTTCATAAGCTGTTTTGAGATGACACACAACTTAGACACAATTTTATAAAAATGGTCATACACTATGGTAGCCTGTCCCATGTAACTTTGAACAGTGCAGGTGGTCTTTTATAATTCACCTCTTCATCCTCTATTTTCTTTTCTGCCTTCCCCTCTAGCTCCTTTCCTCACCCCTTCCAAATTCCTTAGTGACATACACAGGGGGAAAAAAATACCTTATGGCCTTTTTAAAAGCTTTTTTATATGTTAGGATGGCATGAAAGGTTAAGGTTTCTGTTCAAAAAGAAAATTTGCTTGATATTTTGACACTATAAATTAAAATTTTGTCTATCCTGGAAGACTGGTGATTAGAGAATTAGTGGGATTAGAGTTGACATCCAAAGAGACAAAGCTGAACATCTGTGTGGCTTTTAACACTATTTGCTTCCAAAGCCTAATGGACAAGAGTGTAAAGTTGTATGACTTTGTTAAAGATTCCAATACCTTTCCTTCCTTAAGGTGTGTAAGCACAAATAATGTCTTAGACCCAGCTCCACCAAAATCAAAAGTTTAAAAGCAAGCAGAAACATAAATCTTTGTTTTATAAAATGAAACTTTCAGCCTCGTCATAAACTAAAAAATGGATTTGTGCATTCTTTGCTTATTTTGTTAGGTCATCTTTCTAGCCATGCCTATATTCATATGGTTCTCATCACTGTAGAATCCGGTACTTTTAACTGTTGCAGGAATCATACCTATTTTGTCTTGTTGCACTACTTTGTCCCTACCTCCTCATTTTACCCGCGACTCTTTCAGGACTTTTCTTGCCCCTCCCTTATCTGCTGTTGCTGTCTGTTAAAGACATCCTCTAATACAGTAACTCCTCACTTAAAGTCGTCCCAGTTAACATTATTTCATTGTTACGTTGCTGATCAATTAGGGAACATGCTCGTTTAAAGTTGTGCAATGCTCCATTATAACGTTTAGCAGCTGCCTGCTTTATCCACTGCTTGCAGGAAGAGCAGCCTGTTGCAGTGAGCTAGTGGGGGCTTGGAACCAGGGTGGACCGGCAGCCCCCCCATCAGCTCCCCACTCCCCTAAGTTCCCTGTGTGGCAGCTGCCCAGCAGGCTATCAATTGCCGGCCGTTCAGCTATCCCTCCCCCCACTGCCATGTGCTGCTCCTGCCCTCTGCCTTGGATCTGCTCCCCGGAGCCTCCTGCTTGCTGTACGGGGTGGGGGTGGGGAAGAGGGGGGCTAATGTCATGGTGTTCCCTTTCCCCCTGCTCCTGCCCCCAGCTGACCCCATTTCCTTGGGGGGGGGGGAGAAACATGACAGGGCTCAGGATGGAGGGAGCTTGCTGGCAGCAGCTGCTGTCTCAACTTGCTGATCTACTTAAAAAGGCAACGTACTTAGAGTGGTGTCGTCGTACTTAAAGGGGCAATGCGCCTCTCTCACACACAGGGTGTGTGTCTCTGTCTCTGCCATGCTGTCTCCTCTCCAACCATTTGTGCTGCCTTGTAGTGTGTGAGGCTACATTAACAACAATTTGTTAACCCTTGAGGGCTCAGCTGAGTGCTAGTTCATCATTTAGCAGTAAGGCATTCCCTGGGAAATATCTCACCCTCTTCCACCCTCTGACTCCACCACCTCAACCAGGCTTCACAATCATCATTGCTGTGTACAGGATTGTTTGTTTAAAACTTATACTGTATATGTGTGTGTGTGTGTGTATATATGTCTTCTGTCTGGCAAAAAAAACTTCCCTGGAACCTAACCCCCTCTATTTACATTAACTCTTATGGGGAAATTGGATTCGCTTAACATCATTTTGCTTAAAGTTGCATTTTTCAGGAGCATAAGTACAAAGTTAAGCGAGGAGTTACTGTACTGCCCTATGAGCAGCTCAGCTGCTCCTGCCACTCCCAGCTCTTCAATTGTCTTGCATTGGGCAAGCTTATGTCAGTTGAGATGAATTGCATCTGCACAAGGTGGAGGCAAAGACCAAGCAATAAACAAACAATCTCAAAGTATCTATCATTTCACTTAATATATGAATATGAAACATGACTGTATGGCACATCTACACGTTGAAAGAAGGTAACCACATCTAAACCGGAGAAGAAATATGGGAGCCTTTTGCTGGCAATGCATTAGTTCATCTCTTCACCACTTCAGAAAGACTCGGGGAAGCTAAATGAACAGAAGTTGCACAGATGAGAATTCACTCAATGGACTGTGCATGTGTAGAAGTGAGAAGTGTGCTAACGGCAGCTCTGAAGAAGCACCCTGATTGCCAATTTAATGGAGATGCACATACTCACAAGAAGACAATGGGCCAACTGTATCCCTGGTGAAAGCCACATGAAAAATGGAACTGCACTAGGTCTGACTTCAGCCCAATGTGTTTAGTATACCAGCTGTCCTGTTTGTATGGCTACATGAGCCCACTGCCATCCTTACCTCTTCTGTGAATACAGAACTGGGGAATATTTATATTTTGCAATCTCCATACTGTGCAGTATGGTGGAGGTAAATATCACTGGACCTGTAATGTGACTGATATGTGAGGGAGAACCTGTTTTGATCCCTCTGTATAGAGCATCCCTCTACTAGTCTAATTTAGTTGAAAGAAAATGATAGTGATCCAAGATGAATGTTCCAGGCTGACGGTGACTAACTTGATGGTGACAAAAGCTTTAAAATAAAGCTGCTTTTTTTTTTTTAAACTAAAATATTGCTTCAATAATATGGGGTGGAGGAGAAATTCCATCTGAGCAAACGAATGGGAGCCAGCTGTTAGGGTAGAATGTGGAACAGATCTGCAGGAGAATGTATGAAACCTATTAGGAAAAGACAGATTAACCTATCAAGACCTAACTTTTAGTTTCTGTTTCTCCTAAAGAGTTGAAGACTACACAAATACTTTGACTCCTTCTAGTGTTTAATGTCCCTCCTGCACTGCTGCTTTAGGTTTTTTTAATGTCATCTCCTCTTCTTGGGGAATCTTGAATTCACGCCAGGAAGATGAGAGGAAATAACTTTCCAACTCTCTTGTAAGATAATTTTTAGGAACTTTGCCTTTCTATGTATTCTGTTAATTTAGGATCCTAAACTTCTTAAATGTCTCTGGTTATTGCTATGCAGTCATGTCATTTATGTTATATCTTATGGAATTAAACTTAATTTACTAATGGTGAGGGGTTTTTGTTATTTTGTAATTGTTCAGACTCGTACTGAAAAAAAACCCTTAAGGAACATCTAGTTTCCAAGGTAATTTTAAACTATCAGAAAAATATTTGGGGGAGAGGTACTGAGAGAGAGGGAGATTGCAATTTTCAGATCCTTCCTCCTACTGCCAAACATGTAATATTGATAGTACTGTAATAGGGACACCTGCTTGTCCCATGGGAAGGAAGTTTTGATGACCTCATTGCTATTGCTGGAGCGAGTAAAAAGCAGGAAGTGTAGGCAGACACCCTGTTTTCTTCACAACGCAACACGCTCTGTTCTAGCTCATATTACAACAGAGAAGAGATTTTACAAAGCAGTGGCTGCAACCGCCCTCTTCACCACCTCCTGACTTTTCTTAAAAATCATGACAGCATTGTTGCCCTATTCATAGTTCATCTGTTGTACCTGCTGGTTTAACGTCTCATTTTTGTCCCTTCCTAGAGCTGTAGACCGATTACAGGCCCTGTCTACATTACCGCGGAAGCAGTAGTACCACATACAGTTTCTAAACTAGGATTTTCCTAACATTTCCTCTGGTTGTCTTATGATGATGTAGGGCCCTGGTCTATCTAACAAAACATGGTACTTGCCAAAGTTGTTAATGCTAATGTGCATGGCCTAATTCACTGCGATGTTGCTTTGAATTTTGAAAGAAACGATTTGCATTGTTGATGTCTGACAGTTGTCTCATTGAGGCTGTATTTGAGAACATGAAATTCCCATGCTGGACCAGACAGTGTTACATCTCTTCCAGTATCTTGTTCCCCACAATGGCCCAATAGCAATTGCTTCAGAAGAAGGTGTAAGATGCTCCACATGAAGCTATTATAGAATATGCTGCTAACACAGAACTTTGTTCCTAATCTCAGTCAGAGGTTGCTTATACACAGGGCCAGCTCTAGGATTTTTGCCACCCCAAGCAAAAAAATTTTTGGCCGCCCCCGCTTTTTTTTCGTGCCCCCCACCCTCGGCTCTGTCCCAACTCCGCCCCTTCCCAACCCCTTCCCCAAATTCCCGGCCCCGCCTCCTCCCCCGGGCGTGCTGCATTTCCCCCCCGCCATTGCTTCCTGCAGCTCCCCCCCCCGCAACTCCCCACCCTAGCTCACCTCCGCTCCACCTGCCCCCTTTACACGCCGCTGCTCACTTTCTCCCCCCTCCCTCTCAGGCGAGGGAGAGGCAGCGTGTTCAGGGGAGCAGGCGGAGTGGAGGTGAGCGAGGGTTGGGGGGAGCGCAGGAAGTAATGGGGGGGTAGAGGAACCGCTCCCTGCCCCAGCTCACCTCTGCTCCACCACTGCTGCCTCCCCCGAGTGCGCTGCCGCTCGGCTTCTCCTCCCTCCCTCCCAGGCTTGTCACGTGAAACAGCTGTTCCGCGCACAGCAAGCCTGGGAGGGAGAAGCGGAGCGGCGGCGGTGCGCTCAGGGGAGCGGGCGGAGGTGGAGCGGAGACAAGCTGGGGTGGCGGGGACACATTTCTAGGGGCAGCATGGCTGGCGCCGGAATGCCGCCCCTAGAAATGTGCCGCACCAAGCACCTGCTTGTTTTGCTGGTGCCTAGAGCCGGCCCTGCTTATACCAAGAAGTACGAAGGCTTATATCCCTTCTGAAGCTCTGGGTTACAATTTTTGTAATCTTTTACAATAACTCTGGATATTTTTATCTGCATACAAGTCCAATATGGTCTAGTTTGCAAAAAAAAATTTTTTTTTAAGTGACTTAAAGCGTCCTGTACTGCCCTCCCCAGAGGAGTAGCATAAAGAAAGCTTCCTGAGTGAAAACTAAATACACTTGACATTTCTGAGTGTCATTCTACATTAGAGTAATTTCTTTAAAATAATAAAAATAAAATAAAATAATAATCATGGGGATCTATGATTGCTCAATGTTGTCCAGATCAAAGTTGGATCATTTTTCTCCCCCATTTTTAACTTAAACTAACTTGCAAGCTTTGCAACCTCAACCCGATTTGTTAATTTTGTTTTTTTTGTTTTGTTTCCTGGCTTGTGAATCATCATACTAAAAAGATTATGGAAGCCAAGTTCTGTCCCAAGTTGTTCATTGAGGTGCCATAGATATAAATGAGGGCAGAACTTGGTGAATTTTCCTAGTTAAAGAGAGACATTGATGGATTTCAAGGGAGCATATTTGTTTCAGCCAGTTGGATCATGACTGGTGTGTGGTCTTGAAGATGGCAATATAAACTGAGGATGTAGGAGAGAAATTCCCGAGGAAAAAAAATAATTTTTCTTTGTGATTCTTTGTTTTTCTTTTAAGTTTTCAAGTACAGCGTAATACTGTTTACTGGTTACAAGCAGTAACTTTTGATGTAATTTTAAATGATTAGGAATGTTTCCTAGGGCAGCTACGAGTTTATTATTTTACTAACTTGAGTTTAACTACCCAGATGGTCCATTCTCTGATAACTATTTGGGTTAAAGAAGCAGCTGAAATGTATGCTACTGAATAGGTGGATATGATCTCATGCCATTTCCAGAAGTGCACCCTACTGGCAGAATTCAGATCTGAAAAATCTCTTAAATGCTAAGCAAAATGTCTTACCATACTCTTCCTTGCTTCAGCAAATGCCCTTTTCTCCTCTTCTATGCGTCTTCTGGCTTCTTCTTCTGCTTTCCTCTTTTCTTCCTCTCTCCTCTGTCTTTCTAACTCCTCAAAGCTGAGCTTGAGTTTACCAGGACGGAATTCTTTAATAGAATTTTCATTTTCTTTATCTTCTTCCTCTTCGTTTACCTTTAGAAAAAAAAAATTAAATGTTTTTACTCTTTTTGGGCCAGTGGGAAGAAAGAAAAGATCCCTCTAGGAAATGTAAAAACTGCAGTCTATCTCAAAGCCCACACACCGAATACTTTAAAGTTTTAGATACTTAGGCACAATCTGGATAATTTTTCAAATTCTCTCTGAGGAATAGTTTAACACTACACGCTTATAAATCAAGAATAATATTACACAAGCAGGGGGTGAACTAAATAGCCAAAATCATCTTTGATTTATACTTTTAAGGGCTGGATCATTTTGACATACCTAAACAGGCCTCAAAGGGGGTAACAATCCTGAAAATCTGAGTAATAAAACATCTCTCTGAATCTTGAATTATGCTGTCAGGTTCCTTTGCAGATATGTGAAATTAATAGACCTTTCATTTGTAGTAGAAATATTATGTAAATGCATTGGACTCTCTATTTGCATGTGAGGTGCTTTCCCTCAGTGCTGATTTTTTACAAAATAATATAGTAGTGGACTGTGAATTTTTATAAATAAACTACTACTATATATTATCATTTTATTTTTGACCCAGATTGACAATGGTGCTTCTGTTCCTCCTCCAGAAAATGAAACATCTCTGAAGAACTGAAATGAGGTGCTTCAATATCTTCATTGTTGCCCTTCTCCATTAGATACTGTCAGCAAAGAGAAGGCTGGGATTTGCAAACTGCAACAAAGAATGGATATTCCTTCAACTGCTGTATGTCTACGGAGAGAGTGAATCCATGAGCTATGATGGCATTGCTGCTCGAGTTTGCTGCACATTCTAAGCATTATGGCATCGAGCTGTTGCTCACAGAGTTGAGAAAATTATAGGACATCAGCTTTTCAGAATGATTAAATTACTGAATATCTATGGAAAGAGACAAAAATGGAAGGAAATAATTGAATTATCCCCTTTAGAAAACTCTGCAAAGGTACAACCAACAAAGGCAAGTGATTGGGAGGAAAATGGTAATTTATAACCAACCAAAGTTGGGTGTGTAAAAAGGGAAACACCATAAGAGCTTTTTAAAAAAAACAAAACGCAAATGTCACCTTTATACTGAAACTATGTATTTCAAAATGTGGGTGAGGGGGGTGGAACAAAGTATTGTTTAGGATGACCACTGTGGCTTTCTAAACGAAGAATACACTATAATGTTGGAGAGCTGTGGTGTTCAGGGTTGTTAGTAAGAGGAAAGGTTAAGCACCAGGAAAACAGATATGGACCTAAGCTACAGAATTTGGATTCAAGATCAGATATGGATTTTGACCCCAGACCCATACTCAAGATCGGAGGCATTCTGATGCTGGGCTACAAAAATTTTGTTTTGGAAATTTCCAGGGTTTCAATTTTCTGAGCGCCTGTGTTTCCACAATTTTGTGCTGAATCAGGATCTTTAAAACTGTTACTATAAAAACACCACATCAAGTGCAAGATGGTTACAATCTGCCCAGGAACAGTCTCAATAATCAATTTTTTTTTAGTTACCGACAGTGTGTGGTCTATTAAATTCCTAGAAATAAAATCTTGCATGGTGCACTGAAATAAAATTCCCATTCACAAGTGCAAATACTGATGCATACCTTCTATGTGGGAGAACAATGGCATAAATAGTCATCTGAGTGCACAGAAGTAAAATCTATTTTTAAATACAGAATTCTCTAAAGGTGGTCTCATTTTGTTGCAAATTATTAAGAAAATGGTAAATGTAGCTAAACTATCCAATGTACCTGATGCAAATACTCTAATTAAACAATTGTTATTGCTGTAGAACAGAGTACCTAATTTATACAGAGGTCTACTGAATCTTAGATCATCCTAGCTTACAAAACTCTTTAGGGCAAAGGCTATATTATGGAGACATATCAGGCTGGAGTTGGGGGGAGGGAGAACAGGATTGTTTTTTTCTATTTCTGACAACATGTTAGGTTAAATCTCTTAATCTAGAATGTAGTATTTAAACCCTCTATAAAGAAAAGGACTGATCCAACCTTCCCCTCCTCCTCTCTCTCCTACTCCAAAGAGAGATCCTCAGTGATGAATATAAACATGGTAGATAAACAAAAGAGATGAATAAGAAATAGCTCCAGACAATTGCCATGGAATCCTTTCATGTGTGAAAATACTGGTTATTGCAATGCTCAAAGTACCACTGAGGTTAGACAAAACTTGGATAACTTCCAGTTTGTTAAATAATGTTTAGCCATGTGACTGAAAACCACTAGAAGGATACTGATACCCACAAATGTGGTAAATTCATCTGGAGTAGTTGAAATTCAATCAATATTTAATTAATTGAAAATTAAGAACTGGAGTCACTTTAAGAACAGAATAAAATCTGTTCATACTTTTATACAATTGCTTCAGTTCCAAAAACATTAAAACATACTGACACATGGAACTGGAGTATCCTATGATGCTGCTACATTTTGTAAGAATGAATATGACTGATAGCATGCTTTTAAGAAAAAGAAGCTTCACTAATACCAGTGGCTTGTTTAAATAACTATGCCAAGACTTAAATGAATCACTATCTAGAACAAAGACAAGGAGTACTTGTGGCACCTTAGAGACTAACACTAAGGTGCCACAAGTACTCCTTTTCTTTTTGCGAATACAGACTAACATGGCTGCTACTCTGAACCCTATCTAGGACAGTGATTTTCAAAGTTCGGGTCGCGAGCCAGTACTGGGTCGTGGAATGCAAAGCACTGGGTCAATTTGCTCAGCCAGTAAAAACTGGCAGTCCCTACCTGTTCTGACACTGTGCTGCACCCCGGAAGTGGCCAGCAGGTCCGGCTCATAAACAGGGGAGCCAAGGGGCTCTGTGCGCTGCCCCTGCCCCGAACACCAGCTCTGCACTCCCATTGGCCAGTTCCCAGCCAATGGGAGCTGGGGGAAGGGGGAGTGGTGCCTGCGGGCAAGAGCCACACGGAGCTGCTTGCGCGTCTCTGCCTAGGAGCCGGACCTTCTAGACACTTCTGGGGAGCAACGTGGTTCGCGGTGCCAGGACAAGTGGGAAGCCTGTCTCTGTATTCCAGCTGCACTGCTGACCAGGAGCCACCGGATGTAAGTCTGCACCCCAAGCCCCTGCCCCAGCCCTGAGCCCTCTCCCACACCCCATCCGTTGGGTCGCGGGCATCAACAAGTTCCTTCAACCGGGTTGCCAGAAAAAAAGTCTGAAAACTACAGATCTAGAACAATATCTAGGGCAGAAAGTATTTTTGAAACTGATGATGCTGTCAGGTCTCCATCTCAACTGTTAAAAATTGAGAATCATCATGAGGTTAACAGTTTGAAACAATTCAGATGTAAAAAAAAAAACAGATACATGAAGGAATGTAGTGTATTTTCTACACAAACAAGCATCCATAACTAGAAATGAATAACGCATCTATTTACCATTTGTTGTCTAGCTTCTTCAAAAGCACGTTTTTCCTCTTCCAAACGTTGTCTTGCCTCCTCCTCTGCTTGCTTTCTTTGATTTTCTTGTCTTTGTTTTTCCAGTTCTTCAAATGTTAATTTCAGTTTCCCAGGAGAAAGAGGTTCATTTGTTTCACTGCCTTCATCTTCATCCTAGATAACAAAAATGAAAGTTAAATACAGTTTAAATATCAAACGTGTGTTTCCCAAGTATTTCTCATGATTTGTTTACCATGACAAATGAAAGACACTTGGCTTCCTTGAGGGATCGTTTTTGTTCCGCATATCTTATCCTCTTTTCTTCTTCTTGCTTTCTTTTTTCTTGTTGTTCTCTCTCATCTCCTGGGTCTTCAAAATTTATTTTAATCTTTCCAGGTGTTTTGTTAGGTTTGACAGGCACTACTGTCACCAGCAGCGAATCATCACCTTCCTGTTGTTAATAACAAATTTGTTTCCATAAATATTGACTTTTTGGAGTCATCTTTCCACATGCAGCTGCCACTGTTACCTGTGCTTCTCAAAATTGCCAATATAGTTATACTGAGACTAAAAGTAGGGACCAGAGCAAAACTCATTTTCCAGTACTACTGACAGCCATTAGTTTTCTTCTGACAACAGAAGAGCATCAAGAGAATTCTATTTTAAATTGAAATGCGACTGGTGGCAAGTGTTCATCGAACTTGTACAGTATCTTCATTGACAGTTGAACTTATCCACAACTATTCATGGCTGATTGGAAAAAAGCTGCTGAAATTTTGCTGACATAATTGTAAATGCACCTAAGTTTTAAGGTGCTATGCTCCATTTGGAAACAAGCTAATAAGGAATTTGCTTCCACACTCTCTCTTTCTCCAGAAACAAATATGTGATTTAAAAAACAGCATGTGAAGTAACTGCCAGTCCCTTCAGTTTTACTTCGGCAGAAGTCTGGGATCTATTACGTGTATTTGTATGTTCAATCTCCATGATATCTAGGACTGAGTCCTTAGTAATTTTTTTTAAGTGACAGAAGTTGTGCAGCATTTCAAAATGTCTGATTAGATCAACACTGACAACTCAAACATTTACAGGCTTCTTTTGTTTATAGAATCTATTGCTGTCTCAAGTGGATTTGAGCTATTGTCCAATACAAATTCATGTGCGAAAATATCTTCCATGATGTGGATTTACACAAAATATCACCATTAAAGAGAGATTTCAGAGTAGCAGCCATGTTAGTCTGTATTCGCAAAAAGAAAAGGAGTACTTGTGGCACCTTATACTCAAATAAATGTAAAAAGAAAAGGAGTACTTGTGGCACCTTAGAGACTAACCAATTTATTGGTTAGTCTCTAAGGTGCCACAAGTACTCCTTTTCTTTTTGCGAATACGGACTAACACGTCTGTTACTCTGAAACCTGTCAAATAAATGTGTTAATCTCTAAGGTGCCACAAGTACTCCTTTTCTTTTTATTAAAGAGAGACTGTCTAGTAAATTAGACCCAAAATTTAGATTTTATTTTAAAAAAGAAAACTTCAGTAGAAGTGTGATGATTACACTTTGTTTTGACACCTTAGTGAAAAATGGGGTTTTGGTGTCCAGCTTTTTTAAAAATTAAACGTCCTCTTACAATGCTGGAACCTCATAGACAACAACATTGTGCTAGCACATATAAATCAGTGTGTTAAACTGACCAAACAAACCAGTCTAGCTACAGTTTCCAAGCTGAAGTGCAAAAAGTAAACCAAAACATTGTTAAAGCGATTATAAACATTCTTTCTTTTAAACAAATCTAAAAATCTTGAATGTACTGTAACATTAAAAAAAAAACCTTGACACTATCCCTCTTTAATTTCAAGATTGAAAATCTAACCTTAAAAGCTCTTTGCCTTTTTTAAAGCCACTAGTGCATTTAGAGGCCCATGTCCTATGAGCAACACAATCCCTTTGAAAATGTAAGCCTTAGTTATTTTTTTATTCTGACTTGAATGGTTGGTAAGTCATTTACCTTTAAACCTGTTTTAAAGCTAGAATAAATTGGCCTCATATAGATAGATGGCAATATATTTTGTGGCTAAGACATTTTCTCAGGCTTTTTTAGCCTTGTTACAGAATTTCCATGAAAAATTAAGTGTATTGTTTATTTACCCAATCCCTATTAAAATAATAAAGCAGTGAATAAAAAATTAGGTGAATGTTTCTTTGAAAAAAAAAAAAAGTCCAATTACCTCTGCTGCTGATTCAGTTCCTGTATTGTTTATGTCATCAATCTATTAAATGAGAATTTCACATAATTATGTTACTTTTGTTCTTTGCCTTAGATTTTCAAATATAAAATGGAAAATTAACTTGTGCAAATGTATGTTGCATTTAAGTTTTTATGTATCTTTGGGGTGGGAGGGAAAAGAGGGATACCATTCTGAATACTTTTTGATAGCTATATGAGTTTTACCTGACATTACATTTTAATGCCTAGGTAGTATGTCATGTTTTAACCTACAGCAGTATTAATGTTGGAACAGTTCTTGTGGCTTACTAGATAAAGGCTTACTTTACTAGCAATGTAATCCTGGAAACAGAATTGAAACCCTAGGTATAGCATAATAATCTTATTTAGCTTCTTAGTGATAAACTAGTAAATACACATAGATAAAGATTTGTTTCCACATGCATTCCATAATTGTGCAAGAGAAGCTAAAGAAAATGTCATCTAATTTCATATCAAAATGACCTTGTCCTTCCCTTGAGACTTAGCCTAGTGAGAGAGCCCTCTTTCCTATATTCATATTCTTGACATTAGTTTCTATATATTTTTATTGTTTGAAATGAGTATAACTTCCTTCCTGAGTACAAATTTACATACTGTACTCCTACCTTTCGAAGTAAATAAACTCTAGAACAGGTACTGAAAGAGATTATGAGCTAAACTTTCAGCAGAATGCTCAAAACTTAGTAATGTTACTCCCAGTAGGACATGACTAGCTAAATCTTTGTTGGATATTTATCCCTAATAAGAGTTCTCTTTCCTCTTCTGTGTGGAGGGAAAAGATTAAGTGCTAATATTTTTGGTTAAGCAAACCATTTGTTCATGATCCTGGACTATGACTTTTAGACTCTTACTCACACAGGTAATTGCTTCCGTGAAAGAACTACAGAAGGAGGGGACACACTCCAATTCAGAGTTTATCAAAAAGATAAAATTAGGCTTGTAGGCATTGGCAAGAATTGAAGCTACTCATTTATATATCTAACAGAAGCGATCTGTACAATGACAAAAGAATAAAATACTGATTGAAACATCACTTTTAAGTAGTCTTTAGTGGACAATTTGTCTACAACTGTGCTTCTTACAAACACCTATTTTCAGTAATGAACTTGAATATAAATCAGCATCTCTTGTCTAAAATGTGTGTATGTAACAACAAATGTTTTAAAATTTACTTAGTCAACTTAGCCTTGAATCACTTCCAAGCATATGATACCAAAATCTGTGTTTGGTTCATTCCCTCTCCCACTTTCTGTTTTCATCAATGCCTGGCTTCAGCTATAACTCAAGCTCAGTGTTTGACAAGAGTGATAACCCTCCACACACCCCAAAAACTCCTCCACCACACTCATCTCCCTCGTAGACGACAGTCCATTCACCTACTTTCAAGAAACTAAGACCAAATCCTCCTGCTGAACTCTTAGAAAAAAATCATACAAAATAAACAATGTTGACTATTTGATATGTACTTAGTATTCAGAACAACATAAATATACCTCCTGGGCTTTTTTTGCCAGTTCTCTCTGAATTTTCTTTTTCTCAATCATATCTTGTTCAATTCTGCGCTTTCTTTCCTCCTCCATTCTTTTTCTTTCTTCTTCTTGTCTCTGCTTCTCCATTTCTGCAAACTTGCCTTTAACAGTTCCTATGAATGTGAAATACAAAACTCAATAATTTGATCTAATCTTCAACTGTCAAATTACATGGACTTTTAAACTGAGTTTCTTACCTGTCAGCTTTGGAACATAAGCTTTTTCTATTTTAGAAGACTTTGTTTCTTCTTCTTCATCAGAAGCAAGTAGTTCTTTCATCTAGTTGATTAAAAAGAGAAACTAGAACTGAACTGTCTTTAAGCATTAGAAGACAAAATTTCAATATTATCATATAAAGGGTTCAAAAATAGTTTATCTACTAGATGTTGAGACCACTTATTTGAATTACAATGAAAAGTTCCAAAAATATTTTTAAAATTCTTATGATCAAGTGAATATTAAAAAAATATGAAAAATATTTGCAAAGAAAATAACCTCCTGCTTTCTCCTGTTCCATTCTCTCTCTCTAACATACTGTTCTTTTCTTCTTTGCTTTTCATCTCTAGACCTCCTTTGATTTCTTTCTTCCCTTGCTTTCTGCATAGCTTCAAATTTATCCTTTACATCACCCTTGTGAAGTTTGGGCACATAGGATTTTTGGACAGGTTTAGATGAAGAAAGCAGAATCTTTGTGAAGATAAAGAAGAAGTAAAGATAAGGAAAAGAAAGTTGAAACAGATGGAGAGAAATTGTTTGACAGATTGGATTAGACAGAATGTAAGATTTATTAAAACAAAATACATATGTGATCATGATTTTTGTGCCACTGGCTACTGTCTGCCAAGCATTTTAGCTATACTTTACCATTTTTTAAAGGAATGAATCAGTAATAAATATGACGGAATAAACTGAGTTTTATTGGACTTTAGCTGTATGAATCCCGCTGTATGAATCTCACTGATTTTAATGGAGGGCTACGTAGTTAAGCCCTGAATTTTGAGAATGTACTCTTATAACACGCATGAAATTTTAAAAAGATATATACATCTCTATATTGTTGCATTAGAATACGTATACTCACTCTGAAAACAGAAATATATATTTGATTCTGCCTCTAGAAGCAAGACTGGGACTTAGATTTCAGGTATACACGAAGACATGGGTATTAGCATCACAGTGTCTAATATATCTTTGGTTTCTTATGTAACAGATGTTTTATACCATACCTGTTGAATCTTTACACATGGTGGCATTTTAAAAGAAAAAAAATATAATTCTTCCATTTAAAAACTTAAGCACATCATCAAAATAATTCCTTAAATATTGGGGATGACCCAGCAATCCAGAGGTTACACATGACAGCTGAGGTTCCAAGCTCCCTGGGCCAACAGAGACCTATTGTATATATGGCTGAAGAATTTTTAATGGGGGTTTCTGTGCTAACACTTTCCTCATCTGTATGCTTCTGCTGGCTCCAGTTAGTACATTATACCAACATCTTACAAATATTTGAGTGTTCTGTCTCCTTTTACACTTTACTGCCAACATAGTATGGTTGAATCAGCTGAAAAACTGACTGAAAACATTGTTTCATATTTTATATGCTTCCCATTTGAGTACATCACACAATGTTAGTTATGCTTGTTTTAACTCCTATCACTAAATTATCTAGCTAGAATGCTAAAACAAATCTTTTGAGTAACTTAATCCCAATGCTTTCTAAAGATATTTTAATATTTTAATCTTCATCTTGAATCATGAATTGTGTAGGAAAGTGAATAAGGAAGTGTTATATACCCCTTCACATAACACATGAACCAAGGATCATCCAATTAATAGGCAGCAGGTTTAAAAAAAGCATAAGGAAGTACTTCACACAATGCAGAATCAACCTGTAGAACTCATTGCCATTGGATGTTGTGAAGGCCAGAAGTATAACTGGGTTCAAAAAAGAATTAGATATGTTCCTGGAGGAACATATTAGCCAAGATGGTGAGGGGTGCAACCCTATATTCTAGGTGTCCCTAAACCTGTGAGTGTTAGAACCTGGGACAAAATGACAGGAGATGGATCACTCAATAAATTCCCCTGTTCTGTTCACTCCCTCTGAAGCATATGGCACCAGCCACTGTCAGAAGACAGGATACTGGAATAGATGGAGCATTGGCCATTCTGGGTCAGAACATTCTTATGTTCTCTTCCTCTTTCCCTTTCCCCATTTTTTCTGAATTTTCAACAACATTATGTTTCCTGTTTTGTGAATCTCACTTCAGACATCCACTTCCAGCCTTTCAGGAAAAGCTAATATGTAATGCATAATAGCAAGAACCCCTTTAACATATTCCAGCAAATATAATAACCTTACTTTCCTTAATCAAACTGTTCTTTTCAAAGGCTTCTCTGTTACCTTAAGATACAAGGTACATTCTTTTCCTTGAACTTATTATGCTCTTACCCATTTGCTGCTTACCAATTAGAAATAAAGCATCAATACTTGTTTTTTGTCAGCATCACTTGTAAGTTACTACAGAACTTTGATTATATTAAACTTGATACATACCTCAGTCTTCTGTACAATGTCATTCATGGTTTGTTGTTCTGTGATCTGGCACCTGACCCGTTTGATATGTGGGTTTCTATTTTTACCTGTAAGAAATTGCTGCAGATTTATTACCAGCTTAGGAAGAGTCACTCTTCAATTGAAATTTCTACTATCTTTGTAGAAAAAAAGTTAGTCCACATTTAAGCTTGGTGCACCACAACTTAATTTGGCCCCCCTGAGTGAAGATATATGAACATGTACTGAGCATGCAATGGTACTGAAATGCAGTGGCTACAATTCACTATTTGAACTTTTATTTTTTATGGATTCACCTACATAAATTATCATGATATTTAACTTATATGTCATAGTTTATTTGTTTTAATAATTGTTAGGGCTGTCGATTAATCGCAGTTAACTGACGCAATTAACTCAAAAAATTAATTATGATTAATTGCAGTTTTAATCGCACCAATTGAAATTTATTAAATATTTGGGATGTTTCTACATTTTCATATATGTTGTATTCTGTGTTGTAATTGAAATCAGTGTAAATTGTTTTTGATTATATTTGCTCTGTAAAATTATAAACAAAAGAAATAGTATTTTTCAATTAACAAACTTGTCTGTCTTAGTGATTGGCTGAACAAGAAGTAGGACTAAGTGGACTTGTAGGCGCTGAAGTTTTACATTTTGTTTTTGAGTGCAGTTATGTAACAAAAAAAATTCTACATTTGTAAGTTGCACTTTCATGACAAAGAGATTGCACTACAGTACTTGTATGAGATGAATTTAAAAATACTATTTCTTTTGTTTTTTACCATGCAAATATTTGTAATAAAAATAAATATAAAATGAGCACTGTACACTTTGTATTCTGAGTTGTAATTGAACTCAATATATTTAAAAATGTAGAAAACATCGAAACATATTTAAATAATGGTATTCAATTATTGTTTAATCGAGCGGTTAATTTGTTTAATTGTGCAGTTAATTGGTTTAATCACTTGACAGCCCTAATATATTGTATATATTACCATCACTAATGGGACAGAAGGATGATTCAATGGTTAGGGCACTAGCCTGGGACTCGAGACACCCAGGTTTAATTTCCTGCTCTGGCACAAATTTCCTGACTGTTTGACACTGGACAAGTCACTTCAACCTAGATCTTTCAAAGGTTCCTAAGTGCCAAACTACTATTGATTTCAATGGAAGTTGGGTGCTTAACTAACTTTGAGGATTTGGGCCTCAGTCTGTTTGCGTCTGAGTTCCCCATCTGTAAAAGGGAGACATTAGTACCTCCCTATCTCCCGGGGCTGTTGTGAAGATAAAGACAGTGAGGTGCTCAGATAGTACAGTGATGAGGATGGGACATAGTATCTTAGGAAGATACTCAGTTACCTGGTACAGTGCTCTGTGAGCTAAGACCTCTAAACACACTTTAAAGACGACAGCATTTCATATCTTAAAACTATATGCTATATTCATATGTTACTCCATTCAAATTGTGAATTAGCTCAAGTGAACAAAATGAAAAATAAGGATAATACATTACAAAATGTGCTTAACCTCCCTTATTCTGACAATTTAATTGTCATTGGTAGCATACAGCTAAGTAGTGTATATTATGAAAATAATGAGGTTCCTGAAGTGAAACACGCAGGGGCCAGGACCAAGACTTGCCAAGTTAACACCTTCATCTGTATTTTTCATCTGTAGAATTTGCTACCCCTCGAGAGCAGTACAGTTCTTGACCTAGACACCTCCAGAACTGATACCAGATCAGCTTTTCACACAATCTTTCCGCAATGGGAAAGATGAAACAGTCCGAATGGTTATTTCTGGACTAGTCAGCGAGGCTCAGGCACACACAAAAATGAAAGGAGTACAGTGATGTTATGTGGAAGGTGCCTAACTTCTCTGGCAGGTGCACTGAAAAAGTATAGATAGTATTTGGAGGAAAGGTTGTCTCCGTGTCCTTTCAATTACTGACTTCTCTTCAGATAGTGCCAACCATGTCCCTGAAACCAACTCTAGTAATGGTTTCAGGGACATGAACAAGTACCCATTAAACTACCTTTATTCCACAGAGCACACTTTACATCTGTTTGGTAATGAAGAAAAGTACTTATCAATCTGGGCTGGATAAGTCAATGACCTAGATATAAAAGACTATATCCTACCACCACACTAACAAATTGTAGCATTTTTATATAGTGTGCACATAACTGAGACCTGTAATTGCTGACCACAGCAACTGTACTTGTCAACATGAGAAAAAACACACAAAGAGACAGATTTGTTCCATTGTGGCTCTTCAGTGAGAGGGGTTTTTTTTTTCTTTGCAACAGACCATATATGAAGCTTTGGTGTTGAAATGCAAACTGACATCTGTGCACTCTTTACTAGCATGAAAAGCCACACTAGTTAACGTAAGCAGAGATAAAAACCTCAGGAGCAAGCAAAACAATCTAATGCTAAAGATAGTGTAAGTGCAATGCTAGTAAAAGGCATGACCAAAAATGGTGGTATTCCCTAATCTAGAGGTCAAACCAAGTAGTTTATTCTACCACATGTAATCACAATTAGCTCATTCCTAAAGGTTAAAAGTCAATAAGCCTTGCTCAGTTTTATTCAAACCCGCATCAAGCATCTCAACTGGTGTTTTACCATGAAGTGCTCCTATCTATAATTGTGTTGTCACATTCCATAAAACTACTCTGTGCGTGTGCCAACTGTGCTTTGTTCATGCTTGGCTACTTCTGAGGACTACCTTCCATACGTATTCATTTTCTGCATCAGTGGCCTCATCTACAGAGTTCTCAAATAATACCACCTTTCCAGCAAAAACTTAAAGATATCTCTAGGAATGTGTTAGTACAGTTTTAAAACTTTGTATGTTCGACCAAATAGACTGTTGAGGCTATAACCAGAAGGAAGGAATTCACAAGAAAAAACTTTATTTCCTGAAGCAGCATTAGGTCTTATGGATAGCACCTGTGAAAATCAAGTTTATTTGATTAAAGCCACATAATACTCAACATTGCATGGTGCAGTTTGATTTTTTCATTACACGTTAGCTGTTTTCTTAGACCATGTGAAAGGCATCTTCTCTTGTTTTTCAATGTAATGACTTATAAAATAAGGCCTCAGTCCTGCAATGAATTCCATGTGAGCAGAGGGGTCTGCCTATGCTTAGCTCATTGCTGGATTGGCGCCGACATCTCTCTTGATGAAACTGCTATAATTTGTTATATACCTTTTTTAAAACGCTTATTCTATATTTTAGCTTTTTAACTTAAAATAGCTGAAAATAATGAATGGAAATAGTTTTATAAATGTAAATATTTCTCTGCACTATTTGTAAGCAACAAAACACTGCAATACTATTAAAAGGAAGCAGAATGACAACCTGACTAATCTATTTCACTGCCTGAAATGACTGAAAAGCAAGAAAAAACGGTTACTTACTTTCTCGTAACTGTTGTTCTTCGAGATGTGTTGTTCACATCCATTCCACATTAGGTGTGCAGGTGTTGCGTGCACAAGCGTCGGAAACTTTTTCCCTTAGCGGCTCCCATCGGGCCAGCAGGCCCCCCAAGTGGCACCACTGTGCCCTGCATATATACCCCCGCCAGCCCAACCCCCTCCAGTTCCTTCTTGCCGGTGACTCCGACAGAGGGGTAGGAGGCTGGGTGTGGAATGGACGTGAACAACGCATCTTGAAGAACAACAATTACGAGAAAGCAAGTAACTGTTTTTTCTTCTTCGAGTGCTTCTTCACGTCCATTCCACATTAGGTGAATTACAAGCTTACCTCTGGAGGAGGGTAGGAGTCACGGAACAACTGCTCGGAGGACCGCTCTGCCAACTGCTGCGTCCTCTCTGGCCTGCTTGTTGACCACATAGTGGGTTGTGAAGGTGTGCACCGAGGACCAGGTGGCTGCTCTGCAGATCTCCTGGATTGGGACCTGTGTCAGGAATGCCGTGGAGGTCGCCTGTGCCCTGGTCGAGTGGGCCATGACCGCCGGGGCCAGAACACCTGCGAGCTCATAGCACACCCGGATGCAGCTTGTAATCCAAAATGAAATCCGCTGCGCCAGCACTGGGAGGCCTTTTAACCTCTCGGCCACAGCCACAAACAGCTGTATGGATTTGTGAAAGGGCTTGGTGCGCTCCAAACAGAACGCCAGCACTCGATGCCCATCCAAGGTGTGCAAGCTGCAGTGACTCAGGTCCATATGGGGTTTTGGGAAGAACACCAGCAGACAAATGTCCTGGCCGAGATGGAATTGGGACACCACCTTAGGGAGGAACTTGGGGTGCAGCCGGAGCTGCACCTTGTCCTTGTGAAAAACTGTGTATGGTGGCTCAGAGGTGAGGGTTCGGACACCCTTCTGGCTGAGGTAATGGCAACCAGAAATGCCACCTTCCAGGAAAGGTGGAGGAGAGAACAGGTAGCGAGGGGCTCGAAAGGGGGTCCCATGAGTTTAGAAAGGACCAGGTTAAGGTTCCATGGAGGGACTGGGGGGTGGGAGTATGGGAACACCCTCTCCAACCCTTTATGGAACCGCCCCACCATTGGGTGGGAAAACATCGAGCCCCCCGAGAACCCCGATGGAAGGTGGAAATGGCCTCCAGATGCACACTGAGTGAGGACGGGGCTAGCCCTTGCTGCTTGAGGTGCAGGAGGTACTCCAGAATGGCCTGCACCGGGGCCTAGCCCGGCCGCACCTGTCAGGGTTCACACCAACATGAGAACCTTTTCCACTTGGCCATATAGGCCGCCCTGGTAGAGGGCTTTCTACTGCCAAGCAGAATCTGCTGCACGGGAAAGGAGCACTGGCTCTCCAGGGCGTTTAGCCTCAGAGCCTCCACGCCATCAGGTGCAGTGACTGCAGGTCGGGGTGGAGAAGCCGCCTGCTGTCCTGTGTAATGAGGTCCCCGTGTAGGGGCAGGACTACTGGGGCGTCCACCGACAGCTCTAGGAGCGATGTGTACCAGTATTGGCAGGCCCAGGCTGGGGCGATGAGAATCACCGCCACCCTGTCCCTGCACACCTTGAGCACCCAGAGGAGCTGGGGGAAGGCATACACCAAGC